AATAGTGAAAAAACAGTAACATGAATTTCCTGTTAAGACTGGATGACCTCGCAGACACTGTGAATTAGATGTATTCTCTGGGTTTGGCAGGTTTCTTATTTTGGTGTTGCTTTTTTAATTTGGTCTTTGGAGCAGAGGCCATTTCTCTATTACCATGTTATCCTATTCTTTACCAGGGTGAGAAGTCTTCCTGCTCTGTCTCCTGAAGAGACTGAAAGAAGAGTGTTGCTTCTGAAGAGGTGGTGTTTGTTTAAGCAGAAACAAGATGAGGCAGAGAAGAAAGCAATTCAGACCCTTGTGGAATCTCAGCAAGAGGCACTAAAGGAACTGCGGCTGGAATCCGAGGAGCTGTACCAGGCAGCGATCCGGCGGGATGAGGGGCTTTTCCCCTTTGAGAGGGATGGACCCAAGCACACCCCTCCCCTGCCTGGCTATGATCCTCCCGAAGGAAAATGTGTTGATATCACCAAAGTGTACACACAGTGATGGAGGAGTTTGTGGTTCACCTGCCCTGAGCTGCTCAGCCAACTGCAGGAAGAAAGAATGGAAAAAGAATAAGCAATTCCTCCTGCAGGTTACAACACTGTAGGTGTGTGACTGCAAAAAGAATAGTAATGAAGTATCTGTGTGTTTGGGCTTTTTTACCAATGACATCCAGGCTACGCAACCTTACACTCTAACAAAGCCCATTGAAAATTTGTTTTTATATTGTCATGTAACTACTGTAACTAAGTTTCCATAGGTTTGCCCTAAGACAAAACAGATCTCACTCAGTGTTCTTTTAAGCCTTTATTTTTGTAGTAGTTTTGAATATTGCCATTCACACACACTGCTGTTCCAGAGCAGTTCCAAAGGGGCAGTGTCAAGGTCTGCAGCACCTTTGCACCAGGTGAGAAGCTCTTAACCCGTGACAGTCCTGAATCTGGGAAATGCCTTTTAAATGCCAGTGGGTTGCGATTGCCCTGAACTGGCAGGGAAGAGTCCCAGCTTGTTTTTGCTTTCCCATCTGGCAGGCCTGGGGTGGGTACCTCGTGCCAAAATTGCTCAACACCAGCTGGTAGGGGAAGATGCCCTTGTCTAGCAAGAGGAGCGAGATCATGTATGCATTAATTTGGGAGTTGTCTGCTGAGTTGCTAAGATAAAATCCTAATATGTAAGACAGCAGCAAAAGACCAGAATCAAATTAAGCACCTCACTTCCCCCTTTATAAAATACTTGGTGTTTAAATAAACTCTCAGTGTTTTTGAATGAGTGCTAAAGTAATGCAGGGCAGAGCTACAGTTGTACCATGGAACTAAAACAAAAAATTTTAAAAAATTCCAATAGAGTTCTGTGTATTATGTTACTGACCAAACACAACAAACAGTCCCGCTAGTTTGGTTTGTCTTGGTCAAGTGGTAGGTACCAGTCTGCTGGTGGCTTCTTCCTCAGTGTCCACACCGGAGCATACTTCTGCCTTTCCATAACTCGATCTCTTTCACTCCTGCACAAAGCTTCCTGAAACACAGGGGAAAAAGTGTTACCATGAGAGTGTTGGATATTGCAGCTGTACAGAGCTTATTTCCTGCTGTGACTATTGAAGATAAAATGAGGAACATAAATTTATCATGCTTTAACACACATGCTAAATACTATCCTTGTTAAACCAGGATACAACTTTTTGACTTAAGTCATATTTATATTTTGCTTCTGACTGCCATTAAGAACACTACCACTTCTGTGCTACCCTTCCTGCCAGAGGTTGTCCTGGCTGAACGGATGAACCTGGTCAGGGCTTGAGTCCTCCCGTGGCCATGGGGCAGTATCCAGTGGCATTTCTGGGCATCCCAGCAATGCTTTCTGCTGTAACGTGGCAACTTTTTCTGTTAGGAAGGGAATGTCAGAGTAATCAAGAGCTTTTACAGCAGAACACTGATCCTTACCCTTAACTGGGCGTTAAGACAGTCTTACCCACCTCTGCCCTGAGCCAGCGCCTGGTTTTCCAACCCCTCTCCCTTGTTCCAACCCCCCTGGCCGCGGGGGCTGTCCTACAGACCCGGGTGCGGCGGGCCGCGGGCGGTACCTGCGCGGCGGCAGCGCGGTCTCTCTCCCAGGCGCGG